TTTTACATAATTCAAATCTAAAATTAAAATAATTCAACCAAGGTTTTTTCTTTTTGAAATCCATTTAAAAAAAAATAGGATAACGAATAATTTTGTATTTTTTACAATCATTTGAAGTAAAAAAAAAAGTGAAAAAGAGAAAGACATAAGAAAAATTAATTGATACCGGTCGTCTACCATAGCTTGATTTAGCTATAGCTTCTTGAAAAACTTGATCATCAAGAACATTCTGCAAATTTATTAATTTAATTCAAATCTTATCAATAATTTTTTATTTCCTCAAATAAAAAAAAAATTCTTATCTTAATTAACAATTAAAAAACAATTAAAAGATCTTACCTGAACGTCATATGCGTGATCATAATCGTTAAACCCTTCGTAACGATCATCCATTTTTGTTTCTTCTCTAAGGTTCCACGCAATACTGACAACAGCAATACCTCTTATTTATTCCACTCTTCACCATGACAACAACGCCATTCTATGCAAATGGATTCCCTTCTGTGGTGCTCAGTTTTATAGTATAAATATTAAAATACAGTTTTGTAATTAAGTTTTGCGCAGAAATTCATCAGCAAAATTAATAAAACTTTCAACTATTCATGGTTTTAATCCATTTTAAGAAATAAAATTAAATTTTATTTCAAATTTATCAAATTTTATGAAAATTCAATAATTTGTTAGAGCCTTGTATATTAGACTATAAAATAAATTCTAATAATATCAAAAATTGATTTTTATTAAATGTTAAAATATTAAAAAAAATTAATTCATTGAAAAAAAATAGATATTTTGAACTTAATTAATTGATCAGTTGTTATGCATTGCATAGGTACTGGTTATTCACGGTTGGTCATTTGATCAGCATAAATAGTAAAATAATCACTAAAAATTAGGTTTTAATCAATTTTTTATTAGCAAAATTGATTAAATTTTTAATTTGCCGCGGTCTTTATTCATTCTTACAATTGAAATTAATTTTTATTTCAAATTTAAGTATCAAATTTTATGATAATTTTCATAAATTATTGGGGTTTTGTATATTAAACTATAAAATAAATTCCGGAATTGCCAAATTTCAATTTAATTAAATGTTAAAATATTGAAAAAAAATCAATTCATTAAAAAAAACGGATGTTTTGAACTTAATTGATTAATCTGCATGCACTGCATAGGTCATTTATGGTTGGTCATTTGATCAGCAGAAATAATTAAATAAAATTTAACAATTAAATTAAATTCTTTATTTGTCACTGTTCTAATTCATTCTTACAATTAAAATTAATTACTTCAAATTTAAAATTCAAATTTTATGAAAATTCAATAATTTGTTAGAGTTTTGTATATTAGACTATAAAATAAATTCTAATAATATCAAAAATTGATTTTAATTAAATGTTAAAATATTAAAAAAATCAATTCATTAAAAAAAATTAGATATTTTGAGCTTAATTGACTAATTTATAAGCGTTGCATAGGTACTGGTCATTTACAGTTGGTCACTCGACCAGCAGAAATATTAAAATAAACTTTAAAAATTCGGTGTTAATCAATATTTGATTGGCAAAATTAATGAAATTTTTAATTTGTCGCGATTTGACTCATTCTTACAATTAAAATTAATGAAAATTAATTTCATTAAATTAAATCAAATTTAAATATCAAATTTTATGAAAATTCAATAATTTATTAGAGTTTTGCATACTAAACTATAAAACAAATTCTAGTTGTATCAAAAATTTATTTTAATTAAATATTAGAATATTGAAAAATATCAGTTCATTAAAAAAGGTAGATATTTTGAACTTAATTGATTGATTTTTTTGCATTGTATATGTACTGGTTATTTACGGTTGGTCATTTGATTAATATAAATAATAACAAAATAAACTTTAAAAATTAAGTTCTGAATGATATTTCAGTAGCAAAATTGATAAAATTTTTAATTTGTGATCGTTTTAATTTATTCTTACGATTAAAATTAATTTTTATTTCAAATATAAATATCAAATTTTATGAAAATTCAATAATTTATTGGAGTTTTGTATATTAAACTGTAAAATAAATTTCAGTAATGTCAAAAATTTATTTTAATTAAAAATTAAAATAATGAAAAATATCAATTCATTAAAAAATAGGCATTTTGAACTTAATTGATTAATTTATAAGAGTTGCATAGGTACTGGTCATTTACGGTTGGTCATTTGACCATTTAGATAATAAACTAAGCTTTAATGTTTAAGTTGTAAAAAATATTTGAATAGCAAAGTTAATAAAATTTCTAATTTCTTAATGAGTAAATAGATCAATCAATCATATGAATTTCAGTGGGGTGCACGGGTAGTTGTAGTAGTAGACAATGTGGAGTTAAGCTATTGTAGGGTTAGGGTTCAATTTTGTAGCTCTGTTACTTTTAGTAATAGGTAGAATTGTGGGTTCCAGCTTTGCTAGCGCTTGTAGCTATAGGATTGCTACTATCGCAATGACATTAACGAAAAAAAGGGAAGGAAAGACTTAAGTAATAGCAGCAGCAGCAGCAGCAGTACTGATGATGATCTCTATGTCATCAGCAAGTGTTGCTATGAGTTTGTCCTGCTGCAACCGCAAATGCTGCTATTCTTCTTGGTGTATTTGCAACTTGGTGGGAAATAGCAGTGGTAGATTATTATTCAAAAGCAATGCTTGAAAAGAATGAAAAGTGGAGATATGAAGAATTATTTGCCTTCTTAAAGAGTTCAAAAGCCTATATAAAAGGCACGCATATGACATTTGCAGATATTTTCAATCCGCAGGAAATTGCAGATCTAATCAGTTACTTGAGTGTCAAGTAAACGATAGTCAGGTTGCTATACCAAAAAAACATAAATTACAGCATTACTTTGCTTGATGAAAACAGTAAGTACATAGCACATTGCGAGCTACAAAGGAAAAAAAAGCTTCCATAGTCTTTTTCGGTGGATTTTCATTCAATATGAACGGAACTAGAACAGCTGCTATTTAAAAATTTTGTCAAGAAACTCATATAGCATTTGTGTTATTTGATTACTTTGGTCATGGTTATTGGTTATTCAGGTGCTGATTACACTGATTACACGATGAGTGATTGGCAAAAAAATTGTGTTAGAGTAACTCGTAACGGCAAACAAATAATTATAGGTTCAAGCATGAGACGGTGTCTGATGTTGCTCACTACTCTCCAACTTTCAGAAAGAATTGCAGCACTAATTGGTGTATCGTCTGCTCCTGACTTTACTGAAGATTTAATATTCTATCAGTTATCCGAAAGCAAAAAGAAGAATTAGATTCTAAAGGAGTAATAGATTTTACTTCTGAGCATTAAATATACAAAATAACTAAAAGCTTGGTATAGAAGATGAAGATGGCAAAAAAAGCTTCTTTTAAATAAAGAGACAATAGGTATATATAACTGCCCTGTGCGTTTATTGATGATGATAACACCATATTCCTTACCAACTTCGTTAAGTTTAATCAAGGAGTTGGGGTGCATCTGATGAAGACAGTAGGTTGAACACATAACATGTCTGACAATCGTTCGTTGGAATTTTTACTTCTCAGATGATTTAGAGAGTTTTTGCTGTGTTTAGGACTCATCATATTGCAATGGAGATTTCATTTGGGAGAGCGACCAGAACCGAACTAGACGCACTCAGTGCCATAAACTGGTTGTCCTACCAACTAAGCCATACCCATTTAGATGGTTGGTTTGGGGAGTTTTTGCTGGCTGATTAAAGACTCACAATAATGCAGAGGAGATTTTAAGTGAGGGCAGCAAGCAGAACCGAGCTAGCTGCACTCAATGCCACAATCTGATGCCCTACCAACTGAGCCACAGCCATTCGGATTATTCAGGGAGCCTTTGCTGGCTGTGTACTTGCACACTAATTTAGTACTCATCATAAGGTAGGGAGGATCTTCTTGAAGAGAGTGAGCAGAGCCGAACTAGCCACACTCAGTACCCACAAGCTGATGCTCTACCGACTGAGCCACACCAGCCAAAGCACCCCGTGTCCCATACGTAAGTACAAAAAGAAAGCAGCAAAAAAAGTCAATGGATTATTTAAGCAATTGTGACTATTGACTCTTTTACTTCAGACTGTGTTGTTCCCCTGATAAAACAGTTGCAGAAGCAATTTTATTATTGAAAAATCTTTTGGTATTCCTGTGATTGATCAATGCAAGTTAGTCAGAGTTTTAATTAACAGAGATATAAGGTTTATTGATGGTTAAAAAAAATCAGAAAAAAGTATAAAAGTCCCCGAGGTAATGACGAAAGAGAAGTTAGTTACAATACGGGAGCGCTTCAGCAATGAAACTATTGCATGAGAATAGAATAGAAAAGCTTTTGGTCATAGATGAAAACTCCTACTCTATAGATTTGATCACAGTTAAAGATATTAAGAAATGCAATAGATACCCTAATTCATGTAATGATACTTAAGAGCGGTTCAGAGTTGCCGCTGCAATTGGTACTGGTAAAAAGGATGGTATAGAAAGATGTGAAACTATGGTCAGAGAAGAGATTGACGTAATTAATGTTGGTGCAGGTGTTGATGCAATGAAGATTAGAACAGAACCTAGATCAACTTGCACAACCAAAGTAGTGGGTGTAGGTGTGCCACAATTTTCTGCAATTCAAAACGTTGCAAAAACATGTAAAGCAAGAAAAGTAAGATTGACTATCAAATTTTAATTTAATTAAGTGTAAAAACTATTAAAAAAAATAGCAATTCATATTAAAAAAAAACAGAAAATTAGAAACTAATTTAATATTTTATATGCATAGTGCGGGAACTGGTCACATACATTGTCATCACAGAAAAGTGAATTGGTAGATTACTTATCTCATCCAAAAGATTCCAACATTTATCTTTATTGGCTCGTTACTGTTCCTTTTAAAAGAAACGCAAACAGGTAACACAAAAAGAAGGTAACAGAACTATAAGCTTTGGCAAATCAAAAGCTACGCTCATGACTAGTGGATGTTGCTGGGATTGATGAAGCAGAAGAAGAGTTAGTAGAAATCGTTCACTTTCTACAGCAGAGATAAGAATTTCAAGTGTTAGGTGGGGAAATACCGAAAAGATTTCGGTAGAAGTCTGCTTGCTAGTGCAGTTGCAAATGAAGCTAATGTGCCTTTTTTAGTATTTCTGAATCTGAAATGTTCGTTAACGTTGGTGTAAGTGTGTGTTCTGATGGATTTGATCAGAGGTAAGAAAAATAGGTGTGAAATAGATGCGATGGGTAGATATCGTGATATTATTTGAAAAAGGTAAAAAAGAAAAGGCAAATTAGGAGAGGTTTAAGTGTGGACTTAAGTGTAAACAGATGGTTATTTTCTACAAACGGTGTTGAAGCTGGCCTTACTCTCAGCAAAACCTGCCTTATTGCAGTGACTTTGTTGACAATTTCAACATGAACTTGATTGTTATCTTTAGCTTCACTTTCATTTATAATACTATACCTATTTATAGCTATTTCTTGAAATCCTTTTCGAACCTTAGACTAATGTTCATCTCCTCATATTTGTTTTTATGCTTTGCTCTGCTCAGCCCAATTTGAATATCAATATCTAGGATAAATGTGCTATCTGGATATTTAATTTTTGCTAACTCGTGTAGGTCTCGCACTAGCTCTAGGTCAACACCAAGTCTGTACCCTTGATATACAGTAATTGAATCGATAAACGAGTCACAAATACTCATTACCTTTCCTTTTTTTAAGCTGGCAGTATTACTTTTTCAGCATGCTCATATCTCATTGAAATGAGTAGCAAGAGTTCGGAGACGGGATCGATGCTATCCTCTTACCTTTTGTGCAAAGTCAGTGCCGCTTGGTTCTCGAGTCAATACCATATTGTTTTCATCGTGAATTTGCTTAAAATTTTTTTTTGCAAGCAACTCATACTGTATTGTTTTACCAGAGCCGTCTATTGCTTCAAAAGTTATGAACATAAGTTTTAATTGTAATACCAAAAAAGGAGACGCAAATATTATACATAAGAACTGTTTGACATTTAAGTAAAATCACAAATTATAAGTTGTAATATTCCCTAAGCTACGGTTACTCTGAATAATCCTAAGGTTACTCTGAATAATCCTAACGCACATGGACCATATGAAGAACAGGAAATGGAAAAGCGTTTCAATGAGTTGAGGAAGTACGTCTGGCGTCGTATTGACCCAGCACGTCGTCTTGGGGTCCTGCGTGGTCGTGCGCGTGGTTTTAGACGCCGTACTGGCTATGCGGTCATGGTTACGATGCACCAAGTGCTGGTTTCCCACAGACAATTCGTCATCAATCCAGCCGTTTAGGAGAAGAATTTGGCTTTGAGTTATCAGAAAACTTGTGGTGTTTTAAAAGTGCTGATTTCTTTCTGCGTCACTATTGTACTGTTTGTACACATAATAATAATTGATAGCTATTTCCAATGACGCTCTTCTTTTCACGGTTTTTTATTTGTTTTTTTCTTTCCTCGCCTCGTTGATTTTTGCACCGCTTCGTCGGCGATTTATTCTTTTTTCATCCACAACAATTTTTTTTGTTAGACACATGTGTGCACGTAACATTAGAGACATGTCCGATGTGTGCTCAAGCTATTTCCTTTAAGGGTTAGACGATTGTACTCTAGAGTCTATAATTCAAAAGGTGGAGAAATTGAAAATGGTGCTAAAATATTTCAATTTTGCAACCACATACCTGAAGTTTATGACGGGGTATCAGAAACTGAGTGCGCTTTTTTGTTTTTTTCTCAAAAAAATTTTTTTGAGAAACTGAGAGACTCTACCAATTATTATTAGGTTCCTTGTATAACCGTACACTTGATAGCATTCTGTCATTCTGCTCGCGTCCCGCGTTGGGTTAACTGATGAGCGTCTTCTAATCCTGCAATCTTTTCACCTTCACTGATGGAAAGACCAGTAAACTTGACAATAGTATTGGTTCAACACTATCAGCCAGCCTTTGTCTTTGCCACTTCAATTTTTCCTTGTTCTATACCTTGCAAGTTTCTGTTCAAGGATAGCTTCCTCTCTGTACAGATTCAATATTCTTTCTTCATACGCTGTTAGATATTTTTCATCCCAGTGAAAGTTGTTTAACTCATCATATGCTTAATTTATCATCATATGCTTAATTTATGATTAATATTTCTCCTGCTATCTTTTTTGAGTTTTTATCTGTTATTTCTTCTGCATACTTAAAGAAAGAAACACCAGCGTTCTAGTATGCTTGTTAATTAGTCTACTTTACCTTTAGGAAATTTAGATAGTTCAATGAACACGAATTGAAAATCTTGTAAATCATGCTCACTAGTTTCATCGTCTCTTATGGTATGGCTAGATATATAATTGACTCACTCATCGGGAAATAAAGTGCAGTTTGATATTGTAATAAAGAAAATCTTTTGTAAATCCACCAGATAGCCTTGAGAAGCTTTGGCAATGTAATATTGAGCACGTTTTTCAAAGTCCTTGTCACGAGTGAGCTCCATTTTAACCACAAACTTATTACCAACCGAATCGTTGAGAGAACATCAACCATGCTTTGTTTCTCAGAAGCAAATTCAGAATTCATAATGACGCTGATGAATTCTATTTTTTGCATAGTATTAACTTCAGTATACCCTAAAACATCGCTCAAAAATGGGTAAGAATATTCTTACTTCTTTCGTGCCAAAGATCTTCTTGAAAGTCAGGTCCAGTTTTGGTAAGGAATTTAGAAAAAGCCATAAGAAATTAATTTAATAGTAATACACTATTTTTTGCAAATATTCAACTATATTTTTTAACTTATAATTTTAAGCTTCCTTATAACATTTGAAGTGTAGATGCAAAATATAATTCATCGAAATTTCGAAAAAAGCATAGATAATTGGCTTGAGACGCATTTAACAGCCTTACATTACCATTTTATAGCTCTATAGATCTTAGAAACTTTTTTACAAAATTGCCCCCCAGTAGATGCCAATTTTCTACTGTCCTCTCTTGCACAATATAAAAACAGCATTTCTTCTGATGCTTTGCTACCTTAATGTATAATATCAAGCTGTGTTACGACTAAAAGCTGTACAACTTGATAAACCTTGCCAATCCTTTATCATGAGATTGAAGTTGTTTATTCATTCTCAATCTGTACAGATTAAGGGTATAACAGGGATGGCTTCGTATTTTTTACCTTTTGCACTATTTACACCTCATGCCTTTATAAATCTTACCTAGATTTCAGATTTTTACCTCTAGAAATCGAAACGCAACGGCAATTTACAGGATTAGAGAGTGAACAACTTCTATATGGAGTTCTTTTGCCTTTAATCTGCTGCTAATTTTGGATATCTCATAAACATAGGAATAACGTAGGACATTGTTCTAACCACTTAGCATAACTTTGCCACTGCTTAGCTACGGCGGCTCCTCTTTTTTATCTTCGAGCATTGCACTTGGCATAATGCTGTCCTTAGTAGAAATCAGACTATCATATTAAATCTTCGTGAGCGTATTTCTTTTAAAAGACACGCTATAGACTAGTTCCTTTATACTATGCCTTTCCTCTTTCTCCTGAAGTCAAAATCCATAACTTAACTTTAGAAACTTCAAAATAAGATGCGATCTAATACCAGGCAATTATTTCATTGCATAACATTACATATTTCATCACTTATATTTTCAGCTTTAACGATTCTCCTTGTTGACAGAGGCTTGAGTAACATAATCGATTGTGGTGCAGAGCACAACTTCACCGCTAAGCTATTAGTTACTATATTCATAGTTTTAGCCATTTCTCTCAGTGCATTTGTTAGATTGTATTTCATTGGAATTGGCAGTGAGAAAGTTACTGCAAGAATAGATGTGATTTATATGGTAATATTACTGATTTGCAACCAAGTTTCTTTGAGAATACAAGTGTTCAAGATGTCATCTCAGCTCAGCTCAGCACTATTACTGATATCTCTGTGCTGCTGCTACTGCTACTGTAATCAATAATACCAATGCTACCTACTTATTGTCATGACGTCACTTGGGAAGAAAGTGCGCAATTGTGCATGTTTTGCCCAGAATAAGCTAAGTAAGCTTGCATCACTCTTTGACGCCTTATCCTTAACTCCAGCTCTTGCCTCTCTTGCTGCTCTTGCAATTACCGAGCGCTGCGCCTGTTGCAGTGCCATTACCCATTCCTGCCATATGCTCCTCCATCGATGACTCTCCTGCTGCACCCTTGCCGACATCTCCTACCTCTGAAGGGCAACTCTCTACCCAGCTGAATATTGCTTGTGCAAAACGTGTACAGTCTTCTTTGCAAGCTGTGTTTATTGAATATGGAGATAATAAGCAATTTTTTGTCTTTTTCTGAAATATCTCCAAATTATTTCAATATTCCAGAAAAGGAGAAATGAACTTTCTTTGAGGGTTGCTTGAATGATGATTGTGCAGAGGAAGGAGTGAATCAAAGGTAATATAATAACTCCAAAATCGATACTTGATACATACGGTACAGATGTAGTGCGTTATTGGACAGCAGACTGAAGGCTTGGAGTTGATACAGTCTACTCTGAAAATATATTCAAAATTGGCAAGTGCAAAACTTTTCAATGCCAGCAAGTTTGTTTCTAATTCATGGAAAGGTATCCAGCTGAGACAGTGGATCAATAGATACTGTCTAAACTATATAAAGTTATAGCAAAGAATAACTTATTACAATTTGAATACTGTGAAGTTTTGGATGCAGTAGAAGGATTTTTTTGGAAAAACTTTTGTGACAATCACTTGGAATTAGCAACAAACAACAAGTGCATATGGAGATAAAGTAAGCAGCGAGGCAAAGTTTGACATATGTGTTGAATACTACTTTGCGGTTAATTGCTTTGCACCTTCTCTGCCATACATTACTGAACAAATATATCACCAACTATAGCTGTAATTCTGTGCACAATCGAATTGGCCGAATAAGGAAGGAGGAGCTTATCTGTGATAAGCATTCTGAAGAAATGGAAGATATTCATGTAAATAGATATTAAACTTCGTGAGGAAAATAAAAGCAAATGTAAAAGAGGATAAGTTGAATCAGTCGGCGCAGAATGATTTACAGACAGTCGGCAATGCTGAAATGATAGAATGGAGTGAGAACGCACAGGAGGACTTATAACTGATAATGGGAAGTTTATTGTTGGTAGGATTTCCTCATGTAACGACATTATGTGGTCGATTCGAGGGTATGGGTTAGTATACTCCTCATATTGTTTCAGGAGGTGAACAAGCAGCGATGGTAGTTGTTGATGTGTGCGTTAGACTTCTTCCTGGTATGATAAATAATTCCGGTAGTATTCATTTGTTTCTGCATTAGAATGATTTTCATTACTATTCTTGTTAGCATCTGAAGTTATTGATTTCATAATTATTTGTTCTATTTTTATTTTTTCTACTAGGTTTAGTTCTTTTGATTTTATTATTTCTCTTTTCAACGTTGGAAGACTTATAGACATATCTGCCTTAAGTGAATTTTTCGGTACTGCGATTTTAGCTTTCTTCACTCTACCCTTCTCTGCTCCAATTTCATGCCTCTCTCTTTGCTGGTTTTGACACTTTCTCCTCTACCTTTTTTAGTAGCTGTATTCAAGGATGGCTTTGTCTTTCTGTAGATTCATTAGATTCCTCTTTCTTCATACGCTATTTTATCTTCTTCATTCCATCGAAACTCATCCAATCCATCGTATGCTAGCTTTTACATCTGTTTCAGTAGTATCCTCTGCATTCTTAAAAAAGAGGCGTCAATGCTCTACTATATTTATTAATTGCTCTACTTTGCTCCTAGACAATTTAGGTAGTTCAATAAAAATAAATTGAAAATCTTTCAAGTAACGGCCATTGGTTTTTATATCATGTATATTATGAGTAGATACACAATCAACCTTTTTAGAGAGTAAGTTACAATTGGAAATTACAATAAAGAAAACTTTCTTTAAATCAATGCTTAATTGAGCAAGCCTTAACCGATTTATCTAATTGCCTTGAGTAAGCCTTAGTAGCACAAAGTTGAAACGTTTCTCAAAGTCTTTGTTTATAGCGAGCTGCACTTCAATTACACACCTGGTTCCAGTGGCATCCTTGCGAAAACATCAACTATGTTTTGTTTGTCAGAGGTAATTTCAGGATCGATTATAGTGCTTAGGAATTCTACCCTTTTATAGCATTTATTTCAGTGAATCCTAAAATATCATTGAGAAAGCGAATAAGAATCTTCTTATTCTATTCAGTGCCAAAGATTTTCTTAAATATTAGGTCAAATTTCAGATCAGGAAATTTTGATAAAGCCATGATACAATAACCTTTAAAACTTTAATATTATATATTACGATACAAAATTTATCAAAAATTTTTTAATATAGTAAAATCGGCATATATATTAACCAGTAGAATGTAAAATCAGACCATTTTATTGAGCAACCAATACTTGATTTCTGGTTAATGGGAGATTTACCAGTTTCTGCAGTAGATTTTATAGCCTGAAATAATTACTATTCCCTATCTCATAGTTCTGGATTTTCCTTTTTTTGCATCGTTAAAACAGATATTTAAATTAGCATTAAAGCCAAAAAAGTCAGGAGTATAAGCAGCACCATACTCTTTAGCTACTTCCTGTTTACTGTCAGTCAGATATGGAAATATAAACTTCGGCAAAATTAATCATATTTTCAAAGGAATCTTCTGGGTATTCATTTACATCATTTGGCATTATTGCATTATTGTATTCACCTGATAATCCTTTTTTAACAAATCAATATCACTTACCGAGTTATTAATAATTGATTGTACGTAAGGACAGTGGTTGCATATAAAGCTTACAATAAAACCATTTTTTCCACAACAATCACTTAATGTATAGTATTTGTTATCCATCCCAGAAGAGTGAAATTCTTTGCAGTGAAGTCAGAATCTACCTTAGGATTATTCAGAGTAACCGTAGCTTAGGGAATATTACAACTTATAATTTGTGATTTTACTTAAATGTCAAACAGTTCTTATGTATAATATTTGCGTCTCCTTTTTTGGTATTACAATTAAAACTTATGTTCATAACTTTTGAAGCAATAGACGGCTCTGGTAAAACAATACAGTATGAGTTGCTTGCAAAAAAAAATTTTAAGCAAATTCACGATGAAAACAATATGGTATTGACTCGAGAACCAAGCGGCACTGACTTTGCACAAAAGGTAAGAGGATAGCATCGATCCCGTCTCCGAACTCTTGCTACTCATTTCAATGAGATATGAGCATGCTGAAAAAGTAATACTGCCAGCTTAAAAAAAGGAAAGGTAATGAGTATTTGTGACTCGTTTATCGATTCAATTACTGTATATCAAGGGTACAGACTTGGTGTTGACCTAGAGCTAGTGCGAGACCTACACGAGTTAGCAAAAATTAAATACCCAGATAGCACATTTATCCTAGATATTGATATTCAAATTGGGCTGAGCAGAGCAAAGCATAAAAACAAATATGAGGAGATGAACATTAGTCTAAGGTTCGAAAAGGATTTCAAGAAATAGCTATAAATAGGTATAGTATTATAAATGAAAGTGAAGCTAAAGATAACAATCAAGTTCATGTTGAAATTGTCAACAAAGTCACTGCAATAAGGCAGGTTTTGCTGAGAGTAAGGCCAGCTTCAACACCGTTTGTAGAAAATAACCATCTGTTTACACTTAAGTCCACACTTAAACCTCTCCTAATTTGCCTTTTCTTTTTTACCTTTTTCAAATAATATCACGATATCTACCCATCGCATCTATTTCACACCTATTTTTCTTACCTCTGATCAAATCCATCAGAACACACACTTACACCAACGTTAACGAACATTTCAGATTCAGAAATACTAAAAAAGGCACATTAGCTTCATTTGCAACTGCACTAGCAAGCAGACTTCTACCGAAATCTTTTCGGTATTTCCCCACCTAACACTTGAAATTCTTATCTCTGCTGTAGAAAGTGAACGATTTCTACTAACTCTTCTTCTGCTTCATCAATCCCAGCAACATCCACTAGTCATGAGCGTAGCTTTTGATTTGCCAAAGCTTATAGTTCTGTTACCTTCTTTTTGTGTTACCTGTTTGCGTTTCTTTTAAAAGGAACAGTAACGAGCCAATAAAGATAAATGTTGGAATCTTTTGGATGAGATAAGTAATCTACCAATTCACTTTTCTGTGATGACAATGTATGTGACCAGTTCCCGCACTATGCATATAAAATATTAAATTAGTTTCTAATTTTCTGTTTTTTTTTTAATATGAATTGCTATTTTTTTAATAGTTTTTACACTTAATTAAATTAAAATTTGATAGTCAATCTTACTTTTCTTGCTTTACATGTTTTTGCAACGTTTTGAATTGCAGAAAATTGTGGCACACCTACACCCACTACTTTGGTTGTGCAAGTTGATCTAGGTTCTGTTCTAATCTTCATTGCATCAACACCTGCATCAACATTAATTACGTCAATCTCTTCTCTGACCATAGTTTCACATCTTTCTATACCATCCTTTTTACCAGTACCAATTGCAGCGGCAACTCTGAACCGCTCTTAAGTATCATTACATGAATTAGGGTATCTATTGCATTTCTTAATATCTTTAACTGTGATCAAATCTATAGAGTAGGAGTTTTCATCTATGACCAAAAGCTTTTCTATTCTATTCTCATGCAATAGTTTCATTGCTGAAGCGCTCCCGTATTGTAACTAACTTCTCTTTCGTCATTACCTCGGGGACTTTTATACTTTTTTCTGATTTTTTTTAACCATCAATAAACCTTATATCTCTGTTAATTAAAACTCTGACTAACTTGCATTGATCAATCACAGGAATACCAAAAGATTTTTCAATAATAAAATTGCTTCTGCAACTGTTTTATCAGGGGAACAACACAGTCTGAAGTAAAAGAGTCAATAGTCACAATTGCTTAAATAATCCATTGACTTTTTTTGCTGCTTTCTTTTTGTACTTACGTATGGGAAACAGGGTGCTTTGGCTGGTGTGGCTCAGTCGGTAGAGCATCAGCTTGTGGGTACTGAGTGTGGCTAGTTCGGCTCTGCTCACTCTCTTCAAGAAGATCCTCCCTACCTTATGATGAGTACTAAATTAGTGTGCAAGTACACAGCCAGCAAAGGCTCCCTGAATAATCCGAATGGCTGTGGCTCAGTTGGTAGGGCATCAGATTGTGGCATTGAGTGCAGCTAGCTCGGTTCTGCTTGCTGCCCTCACTTAAAATCTCCTCTGCATTATTGTGAGTCTTTAATCAGCCAGCAAAAACTCCCCAAACCAACCATCTAAATGGGTATGGCTTAGTTGGTAGGACAATCAGTTTATGGCACTGAGTGCGTCTAGTTCGGTTCTGGTCGCTCTCCCAAATGAAATCTCCATTGCAATATGATGAGTCCTAAACACAGCAAAAACTCTCTAAATCATCTGAGAAGTAAAAATTCCAACGAACGATTGTCAGACATGTTATGTGTTCAACCTACTGTCTTCATCAGATGCACCCCAACTCCTTGATTAAACTTAACGAAGTTGGTAAGGAATATGGTGTTATCATCATCAATAAACGCACAGGGCAGTTTATATACCTATTGTCTCTTTATTTAAAAGAAGCTTTTTTTGCCATCTTCATCTTCTATACCAAGCTTTTAGTTATTTTGTATATTTAATGCTCAGAAGTAAAATCTATTACTCCTTTAGAATCTAATTCTTCTTTTTGCTTTCGGATAACTGATAGAATATTAAATCTTCAGTAAAGTCAGGAGCAGACGATACACCAATTAGTGCTGCAATTCTTTCTGAAAGTTGGAGAGTAGTGAGCAACATCAGACACCGTCTCATGCTTGAACCTATAATTATTTGTTTGCCGTTACGAGTTACTCTAACACAATTTTTTTGCCAATCACTCATCGTGTAATCAGTGTAATCAGCACCTGAATAACCAATAACCATGACCAAAGTAATCAAATAACACAAATGCTATATGAGTTTCTTGACAAAATTTTTAAATAGCAGCTGTTCTAGTTCCGTTCATATTGAATGAAAATCCACCGAAAAAGACTATGGAAGCTTTTTTTTTCCTTTGTAGCTCGCAATGTGCTATGTACTTACTGTTTTCATCAAGCAAAGTAATGCTGTAATTTATGTTTTTTTGGTATAGCAACCTGACTATCGTTTACTTGACACTCAAGTAACTGATTAGATCTGCAATTTCCTGCGGATTGAAAATATCTGCAAATGTCATATGCGTGCCTTTTATATAGGCTTTTGAACTCTTTAAGAAGGCAAATAATTCTTCATATCTCCACTTTTCATTCTTTTCAAGCATTGCTTTTGAATAATAATCTACCACTGCTATTTCCCACCAAGTTGCAAATACACCAAGAAGAATAGCAGCATTTGCGGTTGCAGCAGGACAAACTCATAGCAACACTTGCTGATGACATAGAGATCATCATCAGTACTGCTGCTGCTGCTGCTGCTATTACTTAAGTCTTTCCTTCCCTTTTTTTCGTTAATGTCATTGCGATAGTAGCAATCCTATAGCTACAAGCGCTAGCAAAGCTGGAACCCACAATTCTATCTACTACTAAAAGTGACAGAGCTATAAAATTGAACCCTAACCCTACAATAGCTTAACCCTATTACATTGCCTACTACTATAATTACCCGTGCACCCCAATGAAATTCATAAGAAATTTTGCTCATTAAGAAATTAGGAATTTTAATAACATTGCTACTCAAATATTTTTAACAACTTAAACATTAAAGTTTAGTATATTATCTAAATGGTCAAATGACCAACCGTAAATGACCAGTACCTATGCAACTCATATAAATTAATCAACTAAGTTCAAAATGCCTATTTTTTAATGAATTGATATTTTTCATTATTTTAATTTTTAATTAAAATAAATTTTTGACATTACTGAAATTCATTTTACAGTTTAATATACAAAACTCTAATAAATTATTGAATTTTCATAAAATTAGATATTTATATTTGAAATAAAAATTAATTTTAGTTATAAGAATGAATTAGAGCAATGACAAGTAAGGAATTTAATTAATTTTGCTACTGAAATATCATTCAGAACGTAATTATTAAAGTTTATTTTAATATTTATGCTGGTCAAATGACAACAATGTATGCGACCAGTACCTATGCAATGCTCACAAATTAATCAATTAAGTCCAAAGTATCCATTTTTTTTTTTAATGAATTGAAATTTTAAAATATTTAACATTTAACTATAAATAGTTTTTGATATTGCTAGAATTTATTTTGTAGATTATTATGCAAAATTCTAGGTAAATTATTGAATTTTGATAAAATTTAAATTTGAAATAAAAATCAATTATAATTGTGAAAATGAATTAAAACCGTCAAAAATTAAAAATTTAAATAGTTTTGCTAATCAAATATTGATTAGAACATAATTATAAAAGTTTATTTTAATATTTATACTGATCAAATGACCACAATATATGCGACTAATACCTATGCAATGCACACAAATTAATCAATTAAGTTCAAAGTATCCATTTTTTTTAATAAATTGAAATTTTAAAATATTTAACATTTAACTATAATTAGTTTTTGATATTGCTACAATTTATATTGCAGATTATTATGCAAAATTCTAAGTAAATTAATTGATTTTCATAAAATTTGAATTTGAAATAAAAATCAATTATAATTGTGAAAATGCTAATCAAATATTGATTAAAACTTAATTATTAAAGTTTATTTTAATATTTATGCTGGTCAAATGACCACAATATATGCGACTAGTACCTATGCAATGCACACAAATCAATCAATTAAGTTCAAAGTATCCATTTTTTTGAATGAATTGAAATTTTAAAATATTTTAACATTTAACTATAAATAGTTTTTGATATTGCTGGAATTTATTTTACAGATTAATAGGCGAAATTCTAGTAAATTAATGAAATTTCATAAAATTTGAATTTTAAATTTGAAATAAAAATTAATTATAATTGTGAGAAAGAATTAAAACTGTCAAACATTAAATATTTAAATAGTTTTGCTAATCAAATATTGATTAAAACTTAATTATTAAAGTTTATTTTAATATTTATGCTGGTCAAATGACCACAATATATGCGACTAGTACCTATGCAATGCACACAAATTAATCAATTAAGTTCAAAGTATCCATTTTGTTTAATGAAATGAAATTTTAAAACATTTTAACATTTAATTATAAATAGTTTTTGATATTGCTGTAATTTATTAAGTAGATTATTATGCAAAATTCTGAGTAAATTAATGAATTTTCATAAAATTTGAATTTTAAATTTGAAATAAAAATTAATTATAATTGTGAGAAAGATGTAAAACTGTCAAACATTAAATATTTGAATAGTTTTGCTAATCAAATATTGATTAAAACATAATTATTAAAGTTTATTTTAATATTTATGCTGGTCATATGACCACAATGTATGTGACTAGTACCTATGCAATGCACACAAATTAATCAATTAAGTTCAAAGTATCCATTTTTTTTAATGAATTGAAATTTTAAAACATTTTAACATTTAATTATAAATAGTTTTTGATATTGCTACAATTTATACTGCAGATTATTATGCAAAATTCTAAGTAAATTAATTAATTTTCATAAAATTTTAATTTGAAATAAAAATCAATTATAATTGTGAAAATGAATTAAAACCGTCAAAAATTAAACATTTAAATAGTTTTGCTAATCAAATATTGATTAAAATTTAATTATTAAAGTTTATTTTAATATTTATGCTGGTCAAATGACCACAATGTATGTGACCAGTACCTATGCAATGCACACAAATTAATCAATTAAGTTCAAAGTATCCATTTTTTTTTTTAATGAATTGAAATTTTAAAATGTTTTAACATTTAATTATAAATAGTTTTTGATATTGCTACAATTTATTTTGTAGATTATTATGCAAAATTCTGAGTAAATTAATGAATTTTCATAAAATTTGAATTTTAAATTTGAAATAAAAATTAATTATAATTGTGAGAAAGAATTAAAACTGTCAAACATTAAATATTTAAATAGTTTTGCTAATCAAATATTTATTAAAACTTAATTATTAAAGTTTATTTTAATATTTATGCTGGTCAAATGACCACAATATATGCGACTAGTACCTATGCAATGCACACAAATTAATCAATTAAGTTCAAAGTATCCATTTTTTTTAATGAAATGAAATTTTAAAACATTTTAACATTTAATTATAAATAGTTTTTGATATTGCTGTAATTTATTAAGTAGATTATTATGCAAAATTCTGAGTAAATTAATGAATTTTCAAAAAATTTGAATTTTAAATTTGAAATAAAAATTAATTATAATTGTGAGAAAGATGTAAAACTGTCAAACATTAAATATTTGAATAGTTTTGCTAATCAAATATTGATTAAAACTTAATTATTAAAGTTTATTTTAATATTTATGCT